AGCGTCTCTCCACCAGTATCACTCACATACCTCTGTTTGAATGGAAAGCAGGAGACGAAAGCTGGTAGGGAAGGTGGAGTAGATCTGAAGCTTGCAAATGAGAAGCACTTGTAGATAAAGCGCAGTGTGTGTTGCGTAAACCGTGATTTGTGCTTTCACTTATACTGTGAGCTTGGAGCAGCTCAGCCAGCCGCTCCGTCTGCAGCACAGGCAGGCGCTGCTGCTAACAGTGGGCTGTTGCTGAATGGAAAAAAGGGAGTTTCAATGACTTAGCTCGGGCACTTCTCAGCCTAGCCTGGTAACAAGAGACCACGCCCAGTGCTCTCAGTCATTGGTCTAGTGGGGTTTGTTAGCCTGTTGCTAAGGCGATGCCCAACGCTAATTGGAGGGAGGGAAGCTGGGTGGAGCGGGAGGAAGAAGAGTCGTTTCGCCACCCGGGTTGCAACGTGCGACGCAGAGGGGGGGCCACCGGCAGCCACTTATTGCTGCTCGGGGCGGGAAATTATCCTCCCGGGGTCCCGCTCGCACACCACGGCTTGGGCCCGATCCTGGGAGCGGGCCCTCCCCCCGCACTCTCACTCGTCCCGCGAACCGGCGGAGGGTGGCAAATGCCCCTCTGCTCAGAGGCCGGGCGGGTCTCGCTGCCAGCTGTTAGGTGCGGGCGGGCGAGCGGAGCGGCTCTGTCCTGGCTACACTGATCCGCGGGGACGCCCCGTGGTTGGGGCTGCCTGAGGGTCCCCAGGGAGGCGAAGAGAGTCCTCCCCGCCGCCCCCTGCCCGCGCTTTGCCATGGCGAGCCCACCCCGGGGCCGGGTGGTGTTAGCCCAGCGGCACGGGGCGCCCCGGCAGTAAGGAGCCGGGCGGCGCGCGAGCACCACTGCCCGGCCGCGTGCGAGGCGGAAGCCCAGGCAGGGGGCGGCTCCCCCGGCCTGTCAGGTTGGGTTGCGCGCGAGGGAGGTGCTGAGCGAGGGCGCTCGTGTGATGTTCACTGCCTGTACGCGAGCGGCTGGCTGGCTGGGGAGCTGCTCGCGCCGGTTTAGGCCGGTCCTCTCCTGCTCCAGTCTGGTCTGTGATTGACAGCTCAGCACTTGTTTACCACAGTTTTGCTGCTGCTGCGGAGACTCAATGGGAGTGCTGAGCTGGCAGAAAGGAGGAGAAGGAGAGAAACTTCGGTGCCAGGAAATGATTCAAATCTAGAAAAGGATAAAGACTGAAATGCCCTTGTGAAAATCCAGGATGCAGTTTCAGTGACACCGCATGCTGGAGATGGGCATAAATCTCCCCGAGTAGGTTTAGATGATCTAATCCTGTAGATATTATGCCTTTTATATCACTTTTTAAATTTTTTTGGTTAAATGGAAGCCGAGTGCAGCACACATTTTGGGAAGCAGGGATGGGAAGGATAAGAACAAATATCAAAAAAAAGTCTTCTATTTTTCTGCCCCTCTTTTTTTTTTTTCCGGGGAGGGGGAGGGTCAGGCTCCCAAATGGGCATTGATGAATAGAGATATACCAGTCAACTCCCTTCATTTGAGTTATTGCTGGAAAACTTTTGCATAGAAGTATTTATTTTGAACTTCACCAAATATTCCATTTTGAGGAGAGTCTGTTTTTCAAGTTTTATAGTTCTCAATAAAATTCAATGTGCAAGCACTTTCCATGTAACACCAAGGAATGATGGCTAAGAACAAGGAAAATGCAGGACAATGTAGCACTTTAAAGACTAACAAGATGGTTTATTAGATGATGAGCTTTCGTGGGCCAGACCCACTTTTTGTCCTTTTCATATTTGTTCTTTTTTTTAATTGTATCCTTTGGTATATATGGTTGTGACTACTTTCTTCCACTATTTGATCTGAGGAAGTGGGTCTGGCCCACGAAAGCTCATCATCTAATAAACCATCTTGTTAGTCTTTAAAGTGCTACATTGTCCTGCATTTTGCTTCAACTACCCCAGACTAACACGGCTACATTTCTATCACTATTCTACAAGAACAAGGAAGGTCAGCTTATCTGGAACTAGAACTAATACCGTAGAGCTTCAGATGACTTTACTACTAAATTATCAGCAACGTTTAGAGAGCTACACTTCCATGCCTTTTGATTTTGCTAATACTTTCCAGGTCTCTTACAGAACAGGATATTTTTGCATCTAATTTATGAAGTCTGTTGCTAGGCAGAAAATAAACAGAAGACGAGTTGCTAAATTTATTCTTCTAGCACAGACTCCATAGTCGGTATAACATGGGGTTACTTTCTGAATATCATTCAGCAATTTTATTTAAGGCCCATTGGAATTCTTTTGAAAAGTGGTTACCATTATAGTTTTGTATTATGTTTAAATAGACACTGGAATTGTACTACAGGTTGTGCCTCTGAAAACTGGCACTTTCTGGTCCAGCATCATGTGTGGTCCAGCAGGACCATGGATGCTCCTGGACCAGAGAGCACAGGAGCCTAATGAGAAGGAGGGCCAGGAGCCTGGCTGGGGCCAGAGGAGCCCCACACCTGTGCTGGGGCCAGGGACCAAAACACTCGCAGCCTGCAGCAGTGCGGAGCCGGGGGCTGGGGAACACCAGGTGCTCACAACAACATGAGGCTGTAAAAGCCTGGCTGGCTGCCCATGACAGCACAGGACTATAGAAGCCTGGGCCCCCGTGACAGCATGGAGAACCCTGACAGCCCTCAGGAGCACTGGGTTGGGAGCCGGAGAAGCTCTGCCTCCTGTGGTAGCATGGGGCTGGGGAAATCTGGCTGTATGTGGCAGCGCTGGCCAGGGCCAGAGAACCCTAGCCACCCATGGCAATCTGAGGCTGGTGGCAGCAGAGTGGACAACACGGCTGGGGAAAAGGCAGAGTGGGCCAGAGGCAGGAGGTTGGCTGGCTTGGGCCCATGGCAGGAGACACCTCCTCTGATCCAGCAAATTCTGTCATTCAGGACCTGTCAGGACCCGACAGTGCTGGACTAAGGAGGTCCAACCTGTACTCACATCCAAGCCTATTCTCTTAAAATTGTGGCTAATGTGCTTTTATGTAAATGGATTCTAAACATGTTGCCTTATTTAACAATATTTTGTTTTATTGAATCCAAATAGATTGTATCTTAAACACGTAGTCTCTCAAGAATGATATTTCTTATTACAGTACAAGCAAGAAAACCGTGTAGTATATTTTGGTGTGTAAAAAATGATCAGAAATGGAATAGCATTTTTTTTTTCTTTCTCCTAGAGGATGACAATTCTGAAGAAGGCCTCAACACTATTCATTCAGGAAGGCACGAATATGCATTCAGCTTTGAGCTTCCACAGACGTGAGTACCACATGTTATACCAATGCTGTATGACATAATGTTGAAATACATATTTATAAAAACAAGCACTATATGTGGAAAATTCTAGTTGGGGAAAAAATAAAACCCTTTTCAATGGTGGTAGGGATTGCACTAAAACATGCCACAAGGACATAGTCCTATTAAAGAGGTTGCTTTTATTCCAAATGGTGACATTTTCAAAATTAGGGCTATTGATTGAAGAGCAGCAATCATTTCCTTTTGTGAGCTATTACAGGTGTAATATGTGTCATTTGATTATCCCATGTCTTACTCGCTATACTCAAGGACCAGTTGATCTCTGGACCATGCAGTGTTGCTGGGATCACTTCCTTCTGCATCAAGATTCCACTTGATAGATAAGCATATCCATATAGATAAGCAGAGTTAAGTCATAAGAAGCAAATGTAGTACTAATCTGGGTTTATTTGTTACAGATATGATAGAATGAACTACATCTGAATACGTGGGGATAGATACCTTTGACAGTTTAGACTAGTAAATGGGGGCAAAAACATATTTCAAGAGGATAGTTTCACAGAAAGCAAGGTGGACACAAGCAGGTGAATGGATAGCAATGATTAGGTCAGGCAATGTTAATACTTTTAACAAAAATAAAATCAGGACATAAATGCAACATTTAACCACTTTGAAAATGGCTAAAATATATGTCTGTGGTAGAGATGCTGAGCACCTCCATTTCTCATTGGCTTTGATTGAAGCTCAGCATTGTGTAGATTTAGTTGGACTACCGTGATACTATTGAAAAGGCTATACTCTGTCTAGAAACACATCCAGAAAGACCCCTCTATGGATATTTTAGAAACCAGGTGGGCACTTGGATGGGAACAACATCCAGAATGCTCTTTCGGCTCAAATTTATGTCAAATTGCATTTTACAGACTCTTTTCTCATTTTGTAAAATGGTTTTCCATTCTGTAATTGGGACTAGACTTTAGGAAACTTATCAATAAGTAAACATGATGAACAACCTGAGTAATATGTTTGGACATCAAAAACCAATGGTGTACTGTCTGTATTAAGGAGTTTAAGATGGAAGAAGATAGGTAAAATATTATGAGGATTGGTAAAAAGTCATAAGAACAGCTATACTTGGTCAGACCAAAGGTCCACCTATAGGATGCAAATGGATATAAAGCCCAGTATCCTGACATCTGACAATGCAAGGTGCCCTACAGGGAATGAACAGAACAGGTGATCATCAAGTGATTCCCTCCCGTCACCTATTCCCAGCTTCTGACAAACTAGGGATATCATTTCTACCCATCCTGGCTAATAGGCTCATCAATGGCTATCTTCCATGAATGTATCTAGCTCTTTTTTGAACCTCATTAAAGTCTTGGTCTTCATAATGTCCTCTGGCAAGAAGTTTCACAGGTTGACGATGCATTGTGTGTAGAAATACTCCCTTTTGTTTTAAACCTGTTACCTATTAATTTCAATTGGTGGCCCCTAGCTCTTAAGTTATGGGGACAAGTAAATAATTTTTCCCTATTTATTTTATCTAGAGCCATCATGATTTTAGAGACTCTTACAACCTTTTCCCCCCCCCTTACTCTCTTTTCTAAGCTGAAAAGGCCTAGTCTTATTGATCTCTCCAAACCCATAATAATTTTTGTGGCCCTTTTCTGAACTCTTTCCAGTGTCAAAATATCTATTTTGAGATGAGGCAACCACATCCACATGCAGTATTCGAGATGTGGGTGTACCATGGATTTATATAGTGATAATAAGATATTCTTGTCTTATTCTCTATCCCTTTTTTAACTTTCTGTTTGCTTTTTTGACTTCTGCTGCACATTGAATGGATGTTTTCAGAGAACTGTCCACAATGATTCCAAGATCTCTCTGAGTGGTAACAGCTAATTTAGTCCCCATCATTATGTACATATAGTTTGGATTATGTTTTCCAGTATGCATTAGTTTCCCATTTATCAACATTAAAATTCATCTGCCATTTTGTTGCCCAGTCATCTAGTCTTGTGAGATCCTTTTGAAACTCTTCACAGTCTTAAAACTATTTGGACTTAACTATTTTGAGCAGTTTGGTATCATCTGCAAATTGTGCCACCTCACTGTTTATCCCCTCTTCAGATCACTTTAAGTCTCCCACCCCGTGTTAATGACTTGAAAGCAACCATAAAATTAGCTTATGATGAAGACTTTAGAGAGAACTGATGATGAAAGCCTGAAGACTATCATAGTATAGAAAAGTGGAGGATGTAAAGATACAGATTAATAAACGGTATAAGCATAGTGGTTACGTGCTAAACAATACAATGATGTTGATGAATAAAAACATTCAACTTGGATTTTTAATAGCACTAAGAAAAAGTAAATGTATCAGATGCACAGATAGAGGTGTCGAATTGTACGCTGAAAAAATACACTAGTAATACATAAGGATGATATTCTAGGATGGGTCTCTGCATCACTTCCCACAGCTCCCATTGGCCAGAAACGGCGGACTATGGCCACTGAGAGCTGCAGGGAGCCATACCAGCAGACGCTCAATGTCAGCAAACTGTCTCACAGCCCAACAACAGCTTACTCTGACAAGCTGAGAGCCAAAGGTTGCCTGACCTCTGTTCTAGGATAGAGACATGTGGAAGTACAATTCAGGAAATCAGAATACTGCAAATTTGAGGCTGTTAGTTATTTTACAACATTTGAGAAACATGGGGATTGGTCAAGTAGTTTTTTAGAGTGTTTAACCTAGACTATCATGAGCTAAAGTCAACTACAAGAACAAGAGGTTAAACTAGATAAGGAGGAAATAGACACTATAGGAAAGTAGGCATAATTAAGCTGCTCAGAGTAGTTAATTAATCTACAAAATAGACTGCCATAGATAGCAATTTGGGCGTTTAATTTTTAAAATCATTGTTAGCTTTACTTTGTCCTAGAACTTCATATACTCCAGATTTAAAAGTAGCCTCTTGTCAGTTTAAAGGAAATATGTATCCTGGTGGCATGTTGCATCAAAATTCCTATGGCAATAGTGACAATTTTGACATACCTAATATATGATGAATTAAAATTCAACTACAAAGATTTTTTTTCTCCCAAACTTAATCCTTTTTGAAATATGGAAACTTTGCAAGTAAGTTATGCTTAAATATGCAGCATAAACAGTACAGTTCAATTTACTGATTCTTATTCTGATCAGCTATTCGAAAGAGAGGATAAAGACTTACTCAATTTTGACCTTTGTGTCCTGCACAGACCACTTGCTACCTCATTCGAAGGCAGACATGGCAGTGTGCGCTATTGGGTGAAAGCCGAATTGCACAGGCCTTGGCTTTTACCAGTAAAATTAAAGAAGGAATTTACAGTCTTTGAACATATAGATATCAACACTCCTTCATTACTGGTAAGAATTGACAGAATTACTAATTGTTTGTTTTTTGCCATACAAAAAAGTATAACTGAAAACAACATCCAAATCCTCAATTTTTACTAATATGCTCCTTAAACTGCAACTATGCTTTAAATACCATTTTTTAACTACTCAGAATAGCTGACATTTTGAAAACTAACTTCAAGTATTTGGAGTTGCACATTTTTAAATTATCTACATTTAACTTCAGCTGTGAACTGAATACATGCTAAACTATGAAATCTCTTTCCAGAGAAAATTCTATGAACTGTTCTTTGTTGATTTAATAAAGAATAATTTAGTTTCCTGGGAAGCAGTGTTACTCTTATGAATCTTTCAACAATAGACTGCTAACTTAAACATGCAAAGTAAAATTGCGCTACAGTGCATTATTCATAACTTCAATATGGATATTGTCTGCCAATAGGGAGAAATTATCACAACTCTAGAATATTTTCCTTTAAATTTTATTTTACTAAGCTTTCCTGATATTGCATTAAGATGTTTTTTGTGAGGCACTCATATTTCAATCTGGCATAAAATCTTTCTTTCTTTCTTGCTCAAATAGCATTGTAGGCAATAAATAAATAAAATAAAGTCCATTGAAATAGGTTTCTTTTGTGTATGTATGGGTAAAAAAATGAATTTTTTTTAGATGACCCAGGGCTCATCCAAGCTCCACTGAGAACAGGGGAAAGATTTCCATTGAATTCAGTGAGCTTTGGATCAGGCCCTTAATCCTGATCTCATGGAAGGCAGTAACAGAAATACCATTGACTTATATGGGAATGGCAGCAGGATCAATCTGGAAGGAAAGGAAATGTTAATATTCAAGATTAAAGTAGTCAGAGTTGGGTTTTATTTATTTATTTTTCAAAAGTAAAATAGAATGTGGGATGATAGCTGAATAGATAATTATATGGAAAGTTTATACTGACAGTATGTTGTGGATATATGGGCTAAAAAGCCCCCAACTGTGTCATATACAGTATTTTCCAATTTAAATTTAAAGTCCACAGTTGAAGATGAGCATGTCTTGGGGTAGCTCTTTGGTTAATTAACCATTGCTAGTGCTGGGATGCATTAGGACAAAACTTGCTTGCTTTACTTATGTAATGCCATTGAACTCAACAAGACTATTCCCATGAGTAAAACAAGCAGCAGGAGTTGGTCTTTAAACTCTAATGGTTATTCCTCTGTGTTGATTAAAAGGCTGTAGAACTACTTCTATTTTGCACTGAAGCCAAATTTAAGCATGGGTATCTCTTATTGTTCTTTTGCAGTCACCACAAGCAGGCACAAAAGAAAAGACTCTCTGTTGTTGGTTTTGTACCTCAGGCCCAATATCCTTAAGTGCCAAAATAGAAAGGAAAGGCTACACCCCAGGTACGTAGCAGAGTAGTAATAGAATTTTTTTTTTTTTAAAAGTACCCTATTACTTAAGACTCTACATGTATGGGTTTTTTCCTGTTGAAATCAATGGGTGTTTTGCAAGTAAGCTCAGTAAGAGAAGCATATGGCTTATTGCAGCCATGTTTGAATTGCTGAAAATGTTCTTGTACTACTATGTAATATAACTGGAATGTTAAATTCTGTTTTAGGTGAATCAATTCAGATCTTTGCTGAGATAGAAAACTGCTCTTCCCGTATGGTGGTGCCAAAGGCAGCCATTTACCAAACACAGGCATTCTATGCCAAAGGAAAAATGAAGGAAGTAAAACAGCTTGTTGCCAACTTGCGTGGGGAATCTCTGTCATCTGGGAAAACAGAGACATGGAATGGCAAACAGTTGAAAATTCCACCAGTTTCCCCATCTATCCTTGACTGTAGTATAATTCGTGTAGAGTACTCACTAATGGTAAGTAAAATGCTCATATTGTCAAAGCATATATGATATGATTAATTTTCATGAAGACATACAAGTTTGAAACAAACTCTGATGTTTTTAGTTGGTTATGAAACTGACATTTTCAGCAGTAGTAATCCTTGCTGCATTATAATGAATAGTACAAGTTAGGGATATAAGCGACTGCTTATTGGATAGTCGAGTAGCAACTCAACTAGTTGTCCCCCCCCCCCTTGCTGCCTCTCTCTGATAGAGGCAGCAAGGGGAAAGAGCAGAAGCCAGTCTCCCCCAGCACCGTCTCCACAGGGAAAAGGGTAGGCAGAGGCACAACTGGGAAAAGACGCAAGCAGAGACTGCTTCAGACCCTATTTGTGCCAGTTCCCGGTGTGGGCGCTTCAGCTTTTCACATGTACAAGAGCCCTTCCAGGGTTCTTACATTTCAAAAGCAGAAGTGCTGCAGGGAGTATGGGAGAGGGGAGGAGCAGGGACTCAAGTAGTTCCCGCTTGCCCCCCTTGCTGTTTCTATGAGAGGCGGCAAGCAGGGGACAGGAGCCGGTGCTGGGGGACGACTTTGAACCATAGCAGACATTAAAATATTTGCTTGCCAACTAAGCAGATACATAACTGTAAGCAGAAAGACTTGTGCATCTGGAGTCTAATGGTGAAAGATAGTGAAAATCCTCAACTTCCATTTGTTTGGCTGGTAGTCTGAGAGCTCAGCACTTCTCAGGATTGAGTCAAAAGGGGAACAGAAGCAAGACCCACATAGATCTTCAAGCAACATGTGTCTTGTCAAATCAAGACAAAGAGCTTATATAGAACCCCACAGACAACTATTGCAACATTTAATCATGGCCTTTTTGTCACTCACTTTTTAGGTGTATGTTGATATTCCTGGAGCAATGGATTTATTCCTTAATTTACCACTTGTCATTGGTACTATTCCTCTTCATCCATTTGGCAGCAGAACATCAAGTGTAAGCAGCCAGTGTAGTATGAATATGAACTGGCTTGGTCTGACACTTCCTGAAAGGCCTGAAGGTAATTTGACAATGCAACTCCCAAACAATTCATTGAGGTGTCTGATTTTTTTTTTTTAATTTTAGCTTGATAAATCCTTACTGATTTATTAAGACCCAGATAATCCATTCCCACAATAAAAGCCACAGGGTAGAATGAAATCTCAAGGTTTCCTCCTTATTGAGCTCTCTGCATCTCTTTATAATGGGGTTAGTTCCTTTTTATCTCTCCCCTCCTTGTCCCAGAAAGGCAATGGGACTCATCTGCCCCAAAGGCAATGGGACTCATCTGGCTGGTTCTGTGGAATCAGTGCACAGGTTGCATGGAAGGATAGGGCCATCTGCATGGAGTGCCTTCACACCAACTCTGTCTCAGGCAGCTGTGCTACCACTGTGACTGCACATGATTAGGGAGAGGGAATGATGTTCATCCCTGGTCAGTGTTCCCTTGGTGCACAGAGATGACTGACTGGGTGGGGTTAATAATCACTTGTGAAGCTGTGCTGCCACGCAGCTTAGAGGAAACACTGTCCCTGTTGCCTCTTTTGGTCTACCTAGTCTTCAGCCCAGTTCCCTGTATGAATTCCAGGTCACAGAGAGTCCCTCTGTATGATCCAGAGGTATATGGGGAAATGTGAAGCTTCCTGCTTGGATTTCAGGAAGACAATCGAGCAAAAATAGATAAATTCTCAACATGTCTTAGTGTAAACTTATTAGATTTAAATTAATTAGCATGAATTGTTGTTGAACACGAGAGCTAAACACTTTTCACTGAACTCTTTTACCTATCTAGTGCAAATTATCAAGTTTAATATTTGTCATGTTATGTATTTTGACATGCATAAGAACTGTTGTT